CTTAGAGCGTGTTGATTCTGGGGTGGGTAAAAGCCGTTTAAAAGCAGCTTTCTTGTCGAAGAAGAGACTGTTTGGGTCTGTTTTTCGGTTTCTTCGTTCTGTAGGTTTGACAATGGCGACGGAGACGGTGGCTGGTGGAACCGCTCGTGGCTATGGTTCACCCAACCCCTAATGTCTGTTTTTGTTTTTGTTTTTGCTCAAGCTTAGAGCGTGTTGATTCTGGGATGGGTAAAAGCCAGTTAAAAGTAGCTTTGTTGTAGGAGAAGGGACTGTTTGGGTCCGTTTTGAGTGTGCTGTTTGTCCATTTCTCGGTTGTTTTCCTCCTCGAGGTTCGGGAATGGCAGTGGAGGTGGTGGCGGCAACACGCACGGCTATGGCCGACCCGGTCCCAATGTCTGCCCCCCCAATCTTAGAGTGTGTTAATTGTGGGGTGGGTAAAAGCTGGTTAAAAGCAGCTTTCTTGTACAAGAAGGGACCGTTTGAATATGTTTGGAGTGTCCTTTTTGTCCATTTCTCGTTTTTTTTGTGTGTCCTCGAGTTTCGAGAATGGCGGCACAGGCAGTGGCAGCAGCGAGCAGCTATGGTTGACCCAATCCCTAATGTCTGTTTTTTTGTTTGTTTGTTTTTTCCTCAAGCTTAGAGCGTGTTGATTTTGGAGTGAGTAAAAGCCGGTTAAAAGCAGCTTTCTTGTAATAGAAGGGACCGTTTGGATATGTTTTGAGTGTCTCTTTTGTCTGTTTTTTGGTTTTATCATTCTCGAGGTTCAAGAATGGCAGCGGTGCCAGCGGCCTTGTGGCTTCGGCTGACCCCACACACCAAGGTCTTTTTTTTGCTTGTTTGTTTGTTTCCTCTCAATATTAGAGCACGTTGATTCTGGAGTGGGAAAAGCCGGTTAAATGTTGTGTTGCTGTAAGGAAATGGACTGTCTTGTCATGTTTTGAGTGTCCTTATCTGTTCCTAGATTTTTTCCTCACGGTTGAAGAGTGGATGGTCTGGTGTAATATTGAGGCACCATTTTGTGTTTGAGTGCTTCTTTCCTCTTAAGAGCTTTGTTGGTGTGCTTCTATGGGATGACTTATAACTGAAAAATATTGGTGAGATTTCTAAACTTTGTGATTCAATGCTTCCACTGTTGGTTTCCTATCTTAAGAGCCCGTGCTTTTAAAATAAATATAAAAATGTGGCGTTTAAATATGTCAGTTTAACTATTATGCAATAACATTTAAGATGAAAGACGCCCATGTTGTTGCTGGTCTGTAAGCCCCACACTTGAGAGGTTGAGGCAGGAGTGTTGACGAGTTGGAGGACTTTTTGCGCACATAGTTTTAGGTCAGCGTGCAGAAAATAGTGAGACCTTAAAAAAGTTTAATATAGGATAAAATTTATGACAGTTTTAATTTGACACAGTTTGTAATTCTGTTTGCTGTTGTGATGTCACTTTAACATGTATTTTACATTTTTGACAATAGTGTTAAGCTAAATGGAGAAATTTTGTGTGTAACAGAATTTGGAGTAATTTTATGGTAAATGAAAATAAATGTAGGCAAATTAAAAATAGGGTATAAATTTTTTTGATTTGCTTAAATTTTTTATTACTTTAAGTTATTTTTAGTGTAAACCACATCTTGGAGCCCAGCTAGGCAGTGCAGTCCCTTATTGGAATCCTATCTCAAAAAGAATGAGGGCAGAGGATTTATATAGCTCAGTGGTTTTGTGGCCTGCCTCACAAGTGCAAAGACCAGACTTTGATCTCTGGTACCAAAAAAAACAAAGGATGGGGAGGCTAAGCGTGTATCTTATTGTGAAGAGCCTTCGATAATTTCCAGTTTCACCAAGAAATAGTGTATTTTCATGTTTCTGGAAAAATACAAGTTTCTTGAAAGTTTTCATGATGAAAATAGTGAAAAGAGATATTGGCTAATAGATAGTGGATATATTTTAATTATTTCATTATTAATATATCACATATGTATTTCTACATATAATACTCTTCCCTATAAATGTACACTTTTTAATTTTAAAAGAATTTATTTAAAAGGCCAGGGATTTAGTTCAGTGCTACATCCTCACTTGCTTTAGCTCACTTGCCTTGCAAAACAAAGTCTTGAGTTTGAGTTCCTGTGGCCTTCAAAGTAATTTATTTGAAAGAATTCTACTTTAGTTTTACATAGAATTTAAATCACATTATTAAAAAAATTGAATATTTTAGGTCAAACATGTTATGTTTTATTTCTTTAAAAATAACACGATATTAGTCTGTGTAAGGTAATTCATGAGTTGTAAACGTATTATAATGAAAGTTGATCCTTTGAACCCTTACAGCAAAAGGATGGATGCTGGATGTCCTGATAAATTGTTTGTAGGAGGCCTCAACCAAGAAACCAATGAAAAGAATCTGAAAGCAGCTTTTGGATCATTTGGACCCATAATAGATGGTAACTCTTAAAACCGTTCTATGTGTGTATGTGTTTACTTTAAATAAGAAGTATAATTTTTGGAACAGCTAAAACGTAATGTTTATCATGAAACATGCATCTTTTTTCTTTTCTCTTCTTTGATGCTAAGGATTGTACTCAGTACCTTGTGTTTGCAAGATTGATGGCACCACTGAGCTAAATTCCAGGCCCTTTCACTTTTCTTATTAGGAATGTGGTCATTTATTACAGTATGTGAGAAGTTTCTGTAAGCTTCTACTATGGAAAATTAAAGCAAGTAATAAATTATTGTTGGCTAGGATACAAAGTATAATAAAGTAGAATGATGATATTTATCTGTGGTTGCTATTTAGTGTATTATGATTAAATAAGGTTTGGGGGGGTTTATTTTAAAGAAATTGATCTTGTTTCTTTCCCATCAAATCAAATTAAGTATCCATATGAGAAATTGTAAAAGCAATGATTATTTTGAAAATAGCAAAAGTTGAATGTTTGGTAATATATGCTGTAAATTAAAAACGCTTTATATATGTATATATTATAGTTGTTTTGATAAAGAATTTGGAAACCAAGCAGTCCAGAGGCTTTGCTTTTGTTACCTTTGAAAGATCTGCCGATGCTAAAACTGCTCTCAAAGACATGAATGGGAAGGTAACCATGTTTTAATAATATCCTAGTCATATTCAGCAAAAAATAGTATTTTTAGAATTTTTCTGATATAATTAAGGATCTGTAATGTTGCATTCACTGAAATTCTTTAGCCATTGTTCTCCATGTTGTCGCATAATTGTTCAAAAGCATGATTGATATGAACACCACATTAAGTAACATACATTAAGTCTAATTTATGTTGTGAACATTTTATTGTAGCTCTTAGTCTTGAAGGCAATTGAAATCTAGAAAGCCCCAAATAATAGAATTAAGTGTTAATAGTAGTAATTTTGACATTAAAAATAGGCAAATACTTGTAGAAAAATATAATTCATGGGAGCAGTTTTTATGGGATAACAGCATTACAAGACTCTTTAGAGGTAGGAAATATTAATTCTCATTCTTCTGGAGAAAAGACACCAGAAAAAGTTGTATTTGATCATGATTCAAATAAATACTCAGATCATTATTTCTAATATACTTGATTTTTTTTTTT